GCAAGATGGCACGGCACAGGTAGGTGGGCAGGGTGGTGGGCAGGGAGGCAGGCAAGCTGGGATGCAGCAAGACATGGTGGGTGGCAGGAGTGAACCTAGGGAAGGTGAAGGAAAACACATGTGTTAGCAAAGAAGTGAAGTCAGTTGTGCTGGAGATCCAACTGAGGTTCCCTCGAAGGGAGAGAAAGAGGATGTGGGTCAACACAGAGAGGGCTCTGCTTCTCAGAGACTTGTGAAAAAGAAATCTCTGGATTTTTTTTAAAAAAGGAAATTATTGAGCTCTTTGTCGGATCGTCCAGAACAATGTCAGACAGATGTTTCCAAGAAGAACAAACAGGGTGTCAATGCAAACGACATCTGCTATTTTTGTTCCTCTGCAGTCTCAATAAATATCATAACTGTGCACGCACGCCACCCAAAGGAGCGATTTGAAAACATCTCGAGTCTGTTGATGTGCATCAGCAGCTCCGCTGTTGTGACACAAGGCTACCAGAAAATGATTAGATAATTCCCTGCACTTTTCCTTCCCAATAATGAGCGTTTGGCTTCCAAAACTTGAATGCACTTAATTTTTTTTTTAAAAAATGGAAAGATATATCAGGGTTGCAGAAAACTAGAAAATCCCAGGAAGCAGCAAAATTAAGAGCATTTTACATCCTTCGGTTGACACCTAGTGGCCGTCCAGGTGCTGCAGATCAGATGTGGCAGACCTACTATGTTTTTCAAACGTGGCCACTTTAAGATGCGTGGACTTCAACTCCCAGAATTCCCCAGCCAGGATGACATTGGGATTCTTTTTTTTTTTTCTTCTTCCTACCTCCCAGCACTCCTGCTTGGGTTCCAAGCCAGGCAAATGAGCCAAAACAGGCAATTAAGCAATGGAGGCATTTGTGCACCAGTTTAACCTGTTTACTGATTTTACCCACTTTGTAGCTTTACAAATGGAGCTGCCTGCCATGCTGTGCAAGGGGAGGGAAAAGAGAGGGTTGAAAATGGATATCCTTGTCCACTAGGTGATACTCTATCCATGCAAACACTTTGGAAGGCTTGGCTGACATGAATGTTACACAAAATAACTGGAAGCAATTATTGCTGTAATTGCTATATTCTGCTAACATTGTACGATCTGGCTTTTCCGTTTTGGAATGTTCACATCTAATGTCCCTATTTCATAGGCTTCTACTCCTTCGTATCATCCCTTTTTCAAAAAATGCCAATTTTCATTGTAGGATTTGATGTATCTCCTTTGATTTCCTATGCCTACTTTTCTTTCATGTCTTTTTAACTCTCCTATTCTTTCCAACCCATTTGGGGAGGGTTGTTTTTATCTCTCTTTGGGTGATGTTTGGAAAATCCTTTCCAAACATCAAACCATTTTCTTTGCACCAGCCAAATTCAATAGGCACAATGCTTGCCAATATGGAAAGGAACATGTTATAACTCTTTTCTGGGTCACAATTAAAAATGAGAAGCTGGGAGACCCAAATACAGTAAACAAAAGTGTGTCATACAACATGGAACAGTTGACCATTCCTCATGCTGGAAATTCGGAAGGCTAATTCTATGGGAGAATTTTGCACGCTTCTCAAATGGAAATTTGATTTCAAATAACCGGATGAGCTTAGAATGAGCTAGCCAGAGAACAGGTCTACTCAGAAGAAAGACTCAATGTGTTTAGTGAAGGTTACTTTCAACTAAATGCTTTTAGTTAGAAAGGCAAAATATACAATAACCTAAGCTTGCAGTCTTAGCATGTATTTGTATTGTAAACCTTCATCCTATGTATCAATTAAAACTCTTTATAACCTCTTACGTTTGGCTCCATATCTCTCTGAGAAATATTGCTGTTTCTTTAGAGACTCAGATCCCTCAAAATCCCTCAGATCCGCTGCCCTGAAAGTCAGGCCTGCAAGAATGACTACCTGAATAAAACTTGGATAGCAGTTCTACAAATAATGGGTGATTGGATTACCAGACCCAGAGCAGAGGAACACCTTTTCTGGATGATCACAAAACAGTAAACCAAAATAGCTTATGCCATCATGAATTGGTTTTATTTTAAGGTGTCCCAAGATTGAGTTTCTGCTGCAATGGAATCAGATGTACCTTTTGGTCCTCTGGAGAATATAGTAGAAAAAATAAGCAAACAACCAAGCTCAGAGAGCACCAAGGACTCCATAGCAGAAAAAGTTCTACGTTCTCCAAAACTCTTGGTCAACATATTGGCCAAGCAGCTGAGAGAAGGATTAGTTGAAGCTGAAACCATCCAGAGTCAAGACACTTAAAATGGAATTTAAGAGAATGTAGACCATTGATTAGATTTGGACAGCTACTGAAGATTTCAACCATCAGGACAAACAGACAATGTTTCCTTCTCTCCTTCTGAAAAGCAGTCATAAAACAGTTGCCTGGACCTGGCTAGATTTTTAGGAGACACCCGCTACTAACTAGAAAACAGAAAGAAGAAAATATCAAAGCTAGACTAGAAACAGATGGAGCAAACATCATGGACTTACCAGGCAGTGGAAGGAGAAGGAAGTAAAGCTTTGCTGAGGAGCTGAAGCTGATGAAGAACTGAAGGTTGAACGGGTACTTTTATACACATTCGGCAACTGGCTAATGACAGGCCAGAACAATTCTGCTGCAGGATTTAATTAATTTCGACTAGTCATGTTATCTATATCTTGATTACCAACCCCTTTGCTAATTGAATAATTTTCTTCTATTAGTTGTATAACAAGCTCACATATTTTACCTTCCTTCCACCCTGCATTTATTTATCTTCTATCCGCTTTCTTATGTTCATAACGCTTCCTTGTAAACAGGAAAGGATGCGAGATCGAAACCAGCTACTCAGCAAATGCAAAAGAAACCACATCGTAAGATGTTGACCAATGAAGCTTTCAACATTTGATGCATTTCTGAAACTCAGTATTTGATGAGATTTTCATTTAGATCTGTCAGTCCAGAACAAGGGGAAAAAATACTTTGTACAAGCCACTCCAAGATCTTCAGAAAGATTCGGTTGGTGTTAAACATACACTGGGACAGAGGACAGAAGCGTGTCCACCAAGTTTGAATTCCAACTGAATCCAGTTCCAATTTCCAAATTCATGAAATGAATTTGAAGGCCCCCTTGCCTATTTCTTGCCAATAATATTTCTTCCCTGAAATCTTACATCCCTACAAGTGGGGTTTATCTGGAAAAAAAGCAAAGGGAGGGGATGGGTGATGATCCCAAATCTGTTTGGGTCAAGCACTTATAACTTAGTAAATAAAAGCAGATATTCAAAAAGAAAGATATCAAACCCATGGATTGTCTAGCTAAGATATAAGTTCTGATCCAGCCTTCCTTGGCTGCATTTCAGAAAGATGTGAAAACTTATTTAAACAGACTAATTGATGGAGGTGGTTGTCCAAATTTGCAACATCTAACTGTCAATAAAGTTAGATGTTGCAAATTTTATTAGCCAAGCTAGATGGCATGGCTATCAGGTTTATAGTTTATCGGCTTTTATAGGTGGGGAAATGTTATTTCTTCCACAGCTATAAAAATAGCATGGTGTAGCTCAATTTTATTGCCTTTGTGGGATCGTCAGTTTTTACTTGTGAATTCTGATCGTGATTGGACACATTATAAATGAAATGTTTGTAAATCTGCTTCAAATCAGAGCCAGTTCCTGGAGATGTATCCACATATTCTTGGCAACAATATGGAGTAGTTTGCCACTGGATTCTTCCAAAGAATAATCTCAGGTTCACTAATAAATAATAAGAAAAACAGATTTAGCAGAGTTTGAGATTCCATTTATCATTTATTTCAGCAGTGGGACATCTATGTTCAGGCCTCCAGAGGATTCATGAAAATCTTAGCAAGTTCCTTTCCAGTGGTATCTATTTTAACTATCAGAGTTAAATTTTTCAAACTACGGCTCCAATAATCATCTCTGTTCAGGGTCATGGTTGTGTTACCTTTCCTATTTACATTTCTGATCTTCGTACTGCGAAAATTCGGCGGTAGGAAATCACAACTGCAGCAGCATTCCCATTGTATGGGATTCATTTATTGTGGCTGGTGACCAGTCACATGGAGAAAAAAGCCACAAGAATGACCCCCAAAGCAAAAAAACGGTTTATAGAGTTATAAAACCCTAAAATTAAGACGACATTTTCTTGTGTCAAGCAACAGCAGCTATAAGAAAAGTTTAATAATCTTCTGGAGATGTTCAGGTTCCGGGCTAAAACGAATAAAAGTGTTCTTGGAAAGGTGGGCCATCTGTTAACAAGCAGAGTTATGGACTTGTTATCAAAAGGACATTGAAGGAACTCATGGGGTAGAGGCTCAGATTCCTTCAGATCAGAAGAATAAGTTCATTCGGCAAAAGGGGTATTGATAGACCTTCCCTAAAATACTAACATGTGTCCAAGACAGAGCTCTAAAGTGTACTAGGCTGTATTACTGGACACATAATTTGCTGGCATGAAAAGTTTCCTGTTTATTTCCGCAAATACATGTTATCTAGTTCATCCTGATGTTGACATCCATGGAGAAGATGGGCAGGTCCGATTTTTCCATTTTTACTGTCATCAGCAATTTTCTGACCTCTACCTGGGATGTGGACAGTGGCTTTGGTACGCAGCAAATCTTGACTGTATAACCTGTTTGACTCACATCCTTTGCCAAAGGCTGGGAAAGATTTATTTTTCTGTACGGGACTTCCGAACCAAAGGAATGTTAGAGATAAATAAGGTACAAGAGAAGGTGAAAGGGTGTTAGGGTAGAACTGAAATCCGCAACGCTAACAAAAAAGGGGATTGGAAGAAAAAACTGGCAACTCATTAATCGTAACAGGCAATTATTCAATTTTCAGAGGTCAAAAGAAAGATAACTTGAAAAATACTAGTTATGGATTAATTAAACCTCCAGGCACAAGGCATGTCTTACAATTATTTGCCTGCTTCCAGAAAGATATAAAAGGTGGAATCCTTCACTGCACATTCACAGGTGTGAACTTCTCGTTTGCAACTCCATTGCTTCATTTGAGTTCTACAAAGAACCAGGTAAGTTTGCATTTCTCCTCTCTAATGCTGCTGTCCAGGAGTTTGGGTTCTTTAGGTTGAGGATCAACTCAAGTCAGGGCTCAGTCCAAGTAGATGTAAGTATTTTTTTTAATGTCAATTCTTCTAACAGGAGAGTCGTAGCTAGGGTACCATTCAAAGAAAGTACCTGATGTACCTTCTTGCATTCTCAGCTTGCCTCATCTATAATTGGCAAACTTCTTTAATAGGAACAAAATGATGGAAGTGCTCAGTTGTAGGGATCCCATTCAACAATTCTAGTGAATGTACTTAACTTGTGCTTTTCCAATAGCATGCAAACTGAAATGCAGTCATTCATATTATCTGTTTGTTAAATTGATAACCTGCCTTTCTCCCAGGAAATTAAGATGGCATATTCCCCTCTCCAAATTTTCTCCCACTACCACAACCCTGTAAGGGTGATTAGACTGAGAGATAGTTGCTCTGTTCATGGCATGTTTAATGTGGTTCTGCATTTCCACAGCATTTAAGCTTGGCTATGTTTAATCTTGACTAGTCTTTTGAGTGCCTTAGCATGTTAAGAAAGCAGGCTCAGATTGATCAGTTTATGGCTGAATCTATTCTGTAAAACTAGAAAATGTAAATTAATTTTCTTGTCTGAATATACCCAATAATGGGCCAAAACTATCCAGTCCTCTTCTAGGGCTGAAGAGGGACTTGAATCTGGATCTTCTCATGATACAAATGTTGACTATATTAGTTGGAAAACAAAATAAAGTCACCTTTGAGTCAAACTTGATTCCTGGTAACTTCATGAAGACATTCCTGCTTTTTTCTCAGCAACAATGCAGAATGCACTATAACCTTATGGGCTATTTTTTTCAACTTCCCAATCTAGCCTACAGCCCTGAGATTTTGTAGACGTCTCCCATTCAAAGAAAGGCTAGATTAACATACTCATAAAAATGCAAGAACATTTATTATGACGCCATGCCTTGTAGATGTGAGGCTGATCTTCAAAGCAGTGGCAGTTCCAATGTATGATCATTGCTATAAAAAAAAAAAGATTTTTGTCCATCTTGAAAGTCCCCAACCTTTGCTCTGTTGAAGTTTGTTTAGTCTGAGAACAGCATCGGCAATTTAAACCAGAGACAGTTGACTCGGTAGCCGTAGCACTGTGGGTGGCCATCCCTTGGCATTATTTCAGCATTTCTTGACAGCAAATCAGATGTTTGCTCAGAGGTTTTAGTCTCTTCCCTGAAGCCTGGAACACAATCTGCTGTGAAAGAAGGGAGAGACAGATGGGAGGGGTTCACACAAATGCCAAGTTATGGTGTTTGGTTGGTTTCAGCTTCAGCCATTGTGGGAATAAGCTGACTTGCCTACTTCTAGCTCTGGCTCTATTCATGGCCAGTAAAAATGCAGCTTTTCTCAGAAGAAACATAGTTCACTGAATAGAGAGATCCTTAAGGTAAGGTAACCAATCCATGGTGTGTTCCACCAGATGTTTAGCCAACTGTCTGAATTAACCCACCCTTCTGGGTTCCCACAAGAAATCCAGCCATCAACAGAGTACATGCACCTTGCTAAACCATTAAAAAAAAAGCATTAATAAACCCAGCCTCATGCAAATCAAGACCGCATAAATTATGACTTCCTCCACTAGGTATTGCTCTGCTTAGACATCATTTTTCATATCCTCTTCCAGATTCATCTCGAGCACCAAACATGTCTTGCTGCAGACCTTGCTGTCCCCCAACTTGCGCCATCCCATCCTGCGCCTCCAGACCCCTCATCGGCCTTGGAGGATGTGGAGGGGGCTCTGCCCTGGGCGGCTTTGGCTCTGGTGGTGGTGGTGCTGCTTCAGCTAGCAGTCTCGGCATGCTTGCTGGAGTGAACCCATCCTCCATCAGCCAGATCCCCCCCTCCGAAGTGGTGATCCAGCCCCCACCTGTTGTGGTGACAATCCCAGGACCCATTCTGTCTGCAAGTTGTGACCCAGTGGCCGTTGGGGGCTATTCAGCATGTTCTTCAGGATCTTATGGCTCCTATTCTCGAGGGCTGCTTGGAGCGAGCTCGAGGGGGATCTGTGCCCCAAGACGCAGATACAGCATCTGTAGTTCACCTTGCTAAATCCAAACTCATCCGAGAAGACAAGAAGAAATGGGAACCATTGCGACATCAGTGAATGTATATCTGAGCTTATAGACTACAGACGCCAACAAAACTTTTAAGTGTTCAGCCAATGAGAGAATCGAGCCCAGGTATTTGTCTCGTGCTCTATGCTATTTCTGAATGTGTACTTTTATCTTTTCCTGAGCTTGCTTGTTCTTTCGAAACCGCAAGGCCAATGCCAACCTTTCTGTCATTTTCATCTGTTCTGTAATTGCACTGGAAAATTGGAAGAGAGACAGAAATGTTCGAATTCAGCTGTCCCTGCTGTGTGATCTTCTTTCCCCCTATTAAAGCTTCTGCTGCATAATTCCTGCTTGTGGAAATTTTTTTTTCCTCCTAATTTATTGACTATCCCCCTGTTCTTGGTAGAAAGATGTGGTCCGTTCTGCAGGGTTCTGGCTGAAACTACTGAAATCTTCAAAGGGTTGCCCCATTCAGCGTGCACTGCAGTAGTCAAGATCTGGGATGATTTGTTTAGTAGTTCCTATACCACCATCACCAAAAGACTACTCCCAGTGGTTTACAATATAAAAAAGTATAAAATAAAACATGCAGCCAGCGACAACTATTAGTGCCAACCCAATCTCATTACGAGGTCAACAAGCCCTCCAAAATCCAATGGAAAATCTCATTTGTTTCTAAAAGGACATTGTGATGATGGCCACAGAACCTCTGGAGGCATAAACGCCATTAAATAATTTAACTCTAATGAGAAATCTGAACCCTCCCAAACAGGGAGTTTGACTTATGTTACGTATGTGCCCCTTGGGTTGATGGTTTTATTATGGTTTCCAACCATGAAAACAACACGAGCCATGAAAAATCAAGGAGGTTAAAATCATTCAAATTAGTAAAGGTATTTTAAAATACTGGATGGCTTTGTTTTTTTAAAAAATAAGCACTTAGTATTGTTTTTCTGGCATTAAAAAACTTGGGCTTCCAGGTGCGCCTGGGTGGAACTGGAGTAAAATTGCCTTCGATTGTGTTTCCTGCAGGTTAACATAACCTCATTAGATGCCATTAATCTATTAATGTTCCTCAAGTATTTAATAATGTCCCTTTTTACCATAGTTCAGCAGCCACTGTTAGAAAAGGTTTGGGGACAACTCCCAAGGCTTTTGAGAGTCCCATGAGTGTCTCTGGCATGAAGAATGAGCAAAAATGCACAGTAACCATTATTCTTGATGGTCGGAAGTGTCTGTATGTCTTGTACGCGAGGATCTGCATGACTGTTTGTTAAACTGGATGTCCATCTGGGTCCTGGGGATCCTCTTGTTTTGTGACCCTGTGTCAATGTTGGGTTGGAGTGCTCTTTAAAGAGGTGAGGATATTCCATGGATGTTGTCCATGGAAGTTGAACATGCTTTCATTCCCTGCTGAAAGAAGCACGGGACACAAATGAGCACCCCACCTCCCTGTCATTGGATGTATCTGAACAACCATCTGTCTCAGATGCTTGAATTTGGTTTCCCGCACTGACCATGGATTTGGAGTACAATAGTCACAGGGGGTCCTTCCATCTTCGGAATTCCATCATTCGTCCAGCTGAATGAAAGTGCTACAGAGTCAGACTGTCTAGAGAGGCTCCATTTTCAGGACACCTCTCTAGATCTTGCTGCCATGGATGCAGAGATAATTAAAGCCTCCAACCAAGGAGACTGCATGACTTGGAATACAGTTAGTTTAGCCCTAAGCAAGGATCTGTTAGGGGCTAAATCTAACCATGAGAGATTTGTTGACTGGGTGAAATTAGTGTTCCTGTGACACTCCAATTTCCCCCTTTACCAACTTGGACAAATCTTCATCTACCAAACTGGAAAATTCTCAGCTTGAGCTCCAAATCTAAAACTGTACTTAACAATGTGAGCAGTTTTGTTCTTGTTGTTATAGCTGGAACAAGGTGATCTCTTTCTCGCAAGGAAGCTTGTGAGCAAGTTCAAGGCCATGTGGGCTGGGGATATGTGGGCTGAAGCATGTAAACAACTGAGGACTGCCTTTTCTTGAATGGTTGCTGAAGGATGAGACATGGTTTCTGGAGGAGGGAAACAAGAGATCTTGCAAGATAAGAAGACTAAGTCATTCAGGGCCCGCCTTCTTTAGATTCTGGTGGAAATAAATATAGGGGATATCAACAATTTGGCTTTTGAATTTGACTGGGCACTAGAAGACCACTCTTCTGATCTTGCTTTCATCAACACAGAACTTCATGCCACCCTTAAATCATGGGACAAACCTCCACTATTTATAATTATATTCACCAGCTAGACCCAGATATTTCTTGATCCCAGGAATTGATGAACAGTTAGACCTGTTTAGATGTTTTGATTCCCTCTGTCCCTCCCCAGAGCCATTTTGATACCCAGTTTCCAACCCAGATGTTATTATGCCAACACCAAGCATTCCCTCAAAGCCTTGACTACCACAAATGTCCTAGCTTGGATGCCACCCTTAAAGGCTCTTTAGAATGTGCTATGAGTCATCTTTTCTCCCCAAAAAAGAGGAGAACACTCTGCCCCAAGACAAAACAGGAAAAGTGTGTGATGCAACAAAAGTTTTAATGGAGAATTGGCAGAATGATACAGAAGATGGTATATTTTTGGTCTCAAATGACATGGAATACCCAGCTATGTAATACACAACTGGGGCAGACAGTCACATTAAGCCACTAGAGATAGAAACATCAGAAAGAAACAAACAAATCTAGGTTAAGGTACAAAGCATGAAGTTTAGCGATGCCAAGCAGTTCACAGGTTCTACTTGAAACACAGAGGATGGACCTTTCTGTCGTACAGGCCTGGCTGGAGGTTTGATCCAATTTCCTAGAGATGGAGGTTCCACATACAATCAGTTTCATGTTTAGCAGGGGTATCCGCAGACACTTTGCCTACGCTTTGACCCATAGCACCGGCCACTTCCCAGGTATCCACCTGAACTTCCCAGTCCATAACGGGAGTAGCCATAACCTCCAGAAGCACCATAACCCCCAGTAGCACATGGGGAATACCCTCCTACAGCCAAAGGCTCACAGCTGGAGGACAAAATGGGTCCTGGGATGGTCAAAACATATGGAGGGGGCTGGATCACCACTTCAGAGGGGGGAATCTGGCTGACACATGACACAGGGACACCAGGAATCATGCCAAGACTGCTGGCTGATGCAGCAAGTCCTGAGCCACCACCATATCCGATAATGCCAGATCCACCACCGCCGATACCACCACTGCCACTGCCCAGGCCACAGGGTCCAAGTCCTAGTGTGGGCCTACAGCTTGGGATAGCACAGGTTGGGGGACAAGGAGAACCGCAATACATGGTTGGGTGATGCAAGAGGAGGCTGAAACATAAAGACAAAGAGAAAACATTCCATTAAGTTTCAAGGAAAATAAAAGGCAGGTGAAATAGCTACTACCCTATATGCTTGGAAAGCAACTTAGTCAACCAAATACCACTGAAAGGGGTTAACAAAGCTTAACAAAGCTCTGAACAGGTTGAGTTGGGGGTCACTTTTTACCTACCAAGACTGTGGTAATAACATGGAGTTATCTCAATATGTTCTGTGATCTGAATTAAACCACCTTATAGAAACTTAGCTTGTTATGGAGAAAGCTGAGCTAGAACTGTAGACATTTCAAACTTGCCAACAGCCAGCTGTGCTGTTTCCCAGGACCGTCAAACTATCCCGTGTTGGAAACAGAATGCTAGGTCTCCCCAAATGAAGCCAGGCCATAATTATTACATTATTCACCCTCACGTGGAAATTACATTCCGTGTTCATTATGCATTTATCCCAGCATTGTGATTATATCTCAAGGACTAAACAAGTTTTTTGTGTCTTTTAATCATCAAAAGTGGATTACGAAAGAGAAGAGGTAATACAGGCTCGTTACTGAATAAGTGCCATCAATTTTGTTAATTTTGTTGAAACGAGACCTCAAGGGCAAGATTCTTAACAGATGCCTAACAGCTGGAGTGCTGAGGATTATCCAGTTATTTGAGCTGAGTGTTTGCTTTTGGAGAATGTAACCAGTTCTAAAAGCAAACGTAAGAAGCAAATTAAATCATACTCTTGCTCACACTGGTTGGACTTACATGCTACACTAAGCCGTGGTTCATTTAAACTTGGTTTGAGATGGCTTTGCCCAAGATGCTAAAATGAAAGCAGTGTGGATTACTTAATATAATAGACCCATCCAGATACCCACAGTTATCCTCATCTAAGTTTTAGTGTGCCTATGGTTAAGCTTCTCTTTGCAATGACAAAGCAGAGCTATCACAGGTTACTTGAGATGTGAGCTAATCCTCACCTCAGATGCTCTTCCAAAGAATCATTGAAGCACCTTAACCTACGGTTCATGGTTAAAGCAGCCACCAGAGCCAAGTTCACACAATACAGATTAATTGGTTACTGTGTGAACCCAGTCTCTGGATTGGTACAATCACAATAGGTATTAAGGGAGCCATCTAGATTCACACAGCACTCAAAACCACGTTGATATCTCTGGATCTGATGGTTGTATGAATGCAGCCAGTAAGTGAGTAATTATTTCAGCCAGACTTTTAATTCATTAAATATCATTATTAATTCCATGGAAATCAAATCAGGTTTAGCTGAAGTCTTGGCTGCAGCATCATGATCTTCTACAAGGGAAGACCTTGGTCCAGGAAAATAATGGTGCATCTGAGCTTAGCCGAATCTCTCAGCTTGGTAAGAGCACGTCCTGACACTCAAGGAATAACATCCGTAAATACAAATCTCACTTGAAATGGTTCCAACTGAATCGAAAACTTGGCAGGTTTCGATCCAAGTTGGATCACTCCTAGTTCCTTCTCGAACACCCCCTAAAATCGAGCCCCTCCGTGGGAAAAGAAATGGAATCATGAGTCCTTACCTTGTGCTCTAAAGCAGAATAGACAAGATGTCACCAGAGAGGAAAGCTGCTGAAGACACTCCAGCTGATCCAGGCTTTTTATATTCTTTTGGGGGATAGGGGCAGGTCACAAGGAGATGAGGCATATCTCGATCCACTTAAGGATTTAATTGTTTTCTTAACGTGCTTTGATCCGTATCTCTCTTGCCCCAAATAATTGCATAGTTTTT